TATTTATAATTCTTTCATACGTATATGTTTAAAATCTTTTTGCCAATGATGTTATTCATAGTGCTAAAGTTTTTAAAACTGCTGTCTTTTTATGTAGTCTGAAGGTTATTTTAGTGATGTCTTGTGGCAGTTTGCCCAGTTAGTTATAGAAGGTTGGGTAGGGGTTGAGTGTTGTCTGTGATTATGCTGATTTTAAAGGGGTTTGGGGTTTGTCAGTTGTGGTCTTTTAAAGAGATGCTTTCTCAGGATTCTTGTAAGTTTGTATGCTGGTAGAAACAGGCTTATCATTGTGTTTGTGAATTCAGTTACTTGGGGTCCTGGTCATGTATAGTTTATGTGAAATCTCCTTTAGGGGTCTTTATTCATGTGTGCCATAATCTTTCCTAGTTTTTCACTAAAGTATAAATGTTTGACGTGGTACTTGTGTGTTTAAAAAACTGTGGGGGGTTTTTGCAGGTCTTTTTTAAATTTGGCTTGATATATTTCCTGTTCGCCCCTTGTGTAAGATTTTTTATCACGAGTTGATTTGATGTATATAGCTGTTCCCCCCCCTTGTGGTTGTTCTACAGTTTGTGTATGACCATTACCCCGGAATGGTACAGACATCGAATTCGGGCTTAACCCATTTTTCTGTGGGTGATGATGATATTTGGAATAAAGGGGAATTTGGGGTAATGCTGTGAGGCCATAAAATGTTTTGCTCAAGGATTGAATTGTTTTTTAAGTGGTAATTATGTTATTGTTTCACTGAGGTTTGTTTTTGCTTGGTTGCTGTATGTAATTACAGTTACGGTTCTGTAAGGAAGGGGCCCCCTTTTTTTCGGGTTTCCTTTACGGCCGCAAATAGGACTTTTAAAAATTATGCCCAAAAACTCGCAAAAACGGTCCCCCCCCCTGATTTTTAAAATACGGCCCCGTGCCCCCACCCGGGTTTTTGTTTAAAACTCCATGAGTCGTAAGCACAAGTTCTCCATTTTTGTCTGGAAACTCCAAAATTTTAAATGTTTTTTAAAAGTTTTTCAAAAATTTATTATCCTTGATAATTATACTTAGTTCCTGTACCTAAAAAACTTACACATGCTTTCAGTAGGTAACATTAAAATCACTAGATCCCCTTTCCCTTTGATGCAAAATTAAAAAATTTTTAAAAATTTAAAAAAATAATAATAATAATAATAAAAATAGTAATAATAGTTAAAAATAAAATAATAATAATTCTTGGGCGCTTTAATGTCCCATTTTACGTTAATATAGAATTTCCCTTAATTATTATGATTTTTTTTCAAAATTATATAAAAAACTTATGTAACAAAAACATGATACAGGCACCCCCATATAAATTTTAAAACAAATAATACGAGATGTTTAAAAAGGTTTGTAGAAGTGTCGGAAGATTAGTTTTCTCCCCCCCTCACCTTTCTGGGATAATGAAAAAATTTTCCTTTGAAACCCTTTCATTTATAAAAATTTCGTACAAATTGTACCGGTAAAGTATTTTTTTCATGTTTTAATTATTTTATAATAATAATAAAAAATATTGAAAGGGGTAAAAGTTTCAAAAAACCCTGCCCGAGTGACGTCCACAAATTTTCAGTTTGTTTACGCTTCTGAGCGGGGTTTACTTATCCTGTTTGCTTTCGTTAACTAATTGGCCTCGTTGACGATGGATTAAATTAGTTGTGATAAAAAGAAGAGTGTAAACCCTTACTTTTGTGCCAAGTTAGAAATGATTAAATTTGTGAACAAGGGGTTTTTAATGGGTGGTAGCACGTAAGCTTGGTTTTTGGGTCGCAAACAGTTAGTACAGTTGTGAACAATAAAGGGGAAAAAGGGTTTCAGAAATTAAAAGTGCTTTCACCGTGGGCCATAAAGTTATAAGAAAAACTGTTTAAACCTTTTTGCTGACATGGGAAAAAAATTTTAAGGGGTGGAAATTTATGTCAGACATCAAAGGTGCCTTTAAGCAGGCCATTTTCCCGCCAAAGCCAAGCTCTTAATTTATGAAGTGGAGGGGGGGAAGCTGTGAAGATAAATTTTCAGCTACAGAGGCTGGTTTAATAGGTTTAAAGGGAAAAAAGTCAACTTCACAACATCAGAGTGCGGGTGAAGCTGCAAGCGTGACAATTTAGCTGCGAAAATTTTCCACTTGAACTGCGAGATAATAGAATGTGGTGGTTTTACCAACAACAGATTTTTAAAAGGGATGAACTGCATTTTTTGGAAGAAGATGCCATCTAGGAATTTATTGTAAGGGAAAAGAAGTCAATGCCCGGCTTCAAAACTGCAAAAAACAGGCTAACACTCTTGCTAGGAGCTAATGCGCTGGGACTGAAAAATTTAAAAAACCCATGAGATTTTTCATCAGAGAATCTAGGGCCCTAAAGAAATTTCAAAAGGCAGCCCCCCCAGTTTTTATAAAACTAATTCGAACTTGGATGAAGCCAATTTTTTCATAAGTTGGTTCACGGGGCTTTTTAAGTACAGTTGAGGCTTACTGCAAGGAAAAGAAAATTCCTTTTAAGTTTTTACTTTTTTTAGACAATGCCCCCCCCCACCCTACAGCTCTACATGGGGATGTCAGGGGGGATAAATGTTGCTTTTATACCTCCAAAACAACTTCATTACTGCGCCGTGGACCAGGTTAATTTTAGCCTTTTTTAAAATTTTTTACCAAAGAAGAACTTTTATTAAGGCTGTAAATTTTTCCTAGACAGTGATAAAATGCCCGGGCCTAAACAAATAAATTTAAAAACCCTTTTTGGAAAAGGGTTTTACAATTTTGGATGGATTAAAAATAAAGGATGGCAAAGGAAGAAGTTTAAAGAAACACACTCAAAAAGGGGTTTGGAAAATTGATTTCCCGAACTTAGGATGATTTTTAAGGTTTTGAAATCCGTGGGGGGAAATGTGTGTAAATGTTGTTGAATGGAAGGGATTAGAACTGGAAGTGGGGCCCGAGGATGTGGGGAAAAATTGTTCTCTCTATGAGAGGGTTTTGCAGACCAAATCTTCTGTTGAAGAGCAAAGAAAAAATTTCAGAAGAGGGATCATCCTGATGATTCCTGTTACCCTTAAAGAAAAGAAAACCCGGGTTTGGAAAAAAGTATTAAACCCTATAGAAATAGCAATGGCAATTTTTTTAGAAGTTGACCCCAAATTTTTGAAAAAAAAAAAAGAAGTTCAAAAGTGAATGAACCCTTTCCCCTGATGTTTAAACTATAAAGAAATTTTTAAAGGGGAAAAAAAAAAAAAATCAGAGGCAAAGTTCAATGCTTTCCCACTTTAAGAAAAAAATTTATGCCAACCCTTTAACATCAACAGCCAGCATTTAACAGCCTCAACATCAAACAGTAGCCCTTCACAGCCTTTAACTCAAAAACACCCCCTTTAAAAGCCTCACACAATCTCCAAAACGAATCAAAATTGTTGAAAAAAATTAGAGGTGATGGGCTGCCCTCCCTGTTGATTAATAACTACATTGCCCCTCACCTTCCACATTCTATTAAATAATTAAAAATATGAAAAAATGTACTGTGTGTAAATTTTACTTTTCATTTTTTTTTTTAATGCTTAGTTCTATTGCTAATTTAATATATGTCAGTGTAAATACGTTATCTAGCATTTATATGCATTTACAAGGAAAATAAAAGGGTGTTCCACTTTACGGCGGTTTCCGCTTTACGGCGGTAGCCTGGAACCTAACCCGCCGTATAAGTGGGGCCTTCCTGTATTTCATTTAGTAAAAAGTTTACGTCAAGTTCTATGCCTGTAGTCATAGAATGAGAGTAATTTTACAAACTAGATTTTCGGAGTAAAATATTATAAGATTTATATTAAATCTACAACTAGACTTATGAATAAGACTCTGTAATTATTCTAAAACTTGTAATAATTTGAAAGAAAAAGGGATTATTACAGAATAGATAATTCAGTTATACACTTAAGCATCTAATAGCACCTTAATTATTTTAACAAATGTGAGTTTATAAACTACGGTAGATATTTACAGCTAAAATAAAGGAGCTAGTGAATATAATAATAAAAGAATGTATTAAAAACAAAATCAGTAGCACTTGAGGTAGTCAATAGAACCTGGAGTATTTTAATAAATGTGACTATATGGACAAGAGGGAAAAAAATATTAAATATCCTGAAAATAGCCCTTTATTTGTTGTTAGACCTAGGAGTATAGCAATTACTGAATAAAGGGAGGTACAATGTACAGGTCTCCCTCAACATTCGCGAGGGTTAGGGGATCAAGAGCCTCGCGAATGTTGAAAAACCGTGAATGTTTGGTGCCCCAATATATTGTAGGGAAATATAATACAATAGTGCTTCCTTAACTTGTTGAACCATGAACAATCATAAAATACATCAAAATGTCGTAAATTGTACTAAATATATACATGTTATGCTTTAATAACATGTATGTTATTAAATACCACAGACTCTACCACTGCCTCCACCACTTCCTCAACCACTGTGAGTCCCTACTACCCTCCCACTGACCCCCGCAACTGGCAGCCAGCCCTCCCACCACTGTGTGGTGAGTGTTTTGTTTGTTCATTATTTGCTATTAAACTACAGTATAAATAATGTAAACCCATCCATGACTGCATATTGGAATGGCTATTTGAACAGGTATTGGACGGTGACATCGTGTGTTTACTCTTGAACACAGCAAAGAATCAAACATTTCTGCTACTGCTAATAATAATAATAATAATAATAATAATAATAATAATAATAATAATACGATATAATTGAAGAAGGAAATTGTACAAAAATACGAGGGAGTGGTTGACACATCGTCAGTGTGGCTTTGTTTATGCTGGAGTGAACATTAGTCTCCCTGCTCTTCCAAACATTTCACAATAATTCAGCGGTTGAGGCAGTGGTATTTAATAACATATATGTTATAAATAATAATAGTACATATTATTAATAACATGTATTATTATTATTATTAATAACATGTATGTTATTAAATACCACTGCCTCAACCGCTGCCTCAACCACTGCCTCAATTGCTTCCTCAACAGCTGCCTCACCTACTGCCTCAATCGCTTCCTCAACCGCTGCCTCAACCACTGCCTCAATCGCTGCCTCAACAGCTGCCTCACCCACTGCCTCAATCGCTTCCTCAACAGCTGCCTCAACCACTGCCTCAATCGCTTCCTCAACAGCTGCCTCACCCACTGCCTCAATCGCTGCCTCAACAGGTGCCTCACCCACTGTCTCCATCGCTGCCTCAGCTGCCTCAACCGCTGCCTCAACAGCTGCCTCAATCGCTGCCTCAATCGCTGCCTCACCACTGCCTCAATCGCTGCCTCAACAGCTGCCTCACCCACTGCCTCAATCGCTGCCTTAACCACTGCCACTACCACTCCAGTTGCACTCAATCTACAAGCACCAAACACAATGAATTATTGTGAAATGTTTCAAAGAGCAGGGAGACTAATATTCACTCCAGGGTAAACAAAGCCATACTGACGATGTGTCAACCACTCACTCGTATTTTTGTACAATTTCCTTCTTCAGTTATATCGTATTTATTATTATTATTATTATTATTATTATTATTATTATTATTATTATTATTATTATTATTATTATTATTATTATTATTGTCATTATTAGCAGTAGCAGAAATGTTTGATTCTTTGCTGTGTTCAAGAGTAAACACATGATGTCACCGTCTAATACCTGTCCGAATAGCCATTCCAATATGCAGTCATGAATGGATTTACATTATTTATAATGTAGTTTAATAGCAAATAATGAACAAACAAAACACTCACCACACAGTGGTGGGAGGGCTGGCTGCCAGTTGCGGGGGTCAGTGGGAGGGTAGTAGGGACTCGCAGGTGACGGAAAACTTAAATATGATTTGGCGGCTGGGAATTTGGTGGCTGGGAATTTGGCGGGTGAGAATTCGCGAATGTGTGAAGCCCGCGAAAGCTGAAAACGTGAATGTTGAGGGAGACCTGTATTGGAATATAGAGAACTATTTCAGGACAAATGTAAAAAGGGACTAAATTAAGTAGTGGTAAAACAAACTTTAATTCAATTCATTTCAATTCAATTCAAAGTTTATTCTCTATAAGGATTACAATGCTGAGTTTACAGAATTTGGTTATTGTGTGGTTTACATGTAGTAAAATAATAATTACAGAGTGTACCACTAGAACACCTAGCATGGCTAGGCATTTCGGGCAGACTTAGTTTAATTCTTAAATTTAAAAATATTACAAATTATGAGGTAAGTTGGTATTATGGCTAAGTGACTAAATACTAGTTAGTGAGTTTAGCAATGTGAATGCTTTTGTTTTGGCACAGTACATAGTTTCAGTATTGGAGTATCACAGGATTCATTATTTTAAGATTGAGATTAATATTTCTGTTTATGGTCAAATGGGTGAGTGAGTGTAAGTGTGAACCACCAGGTGGTATTCGTGTAGTTAGTTGACGGGGTGTATCAGGGAGATAAGATGTTTTCTAATGGTAGTTTTGAAGGTGATATGAAATTAATCTGAGACTAACATAAAGTTTGAGCAATTAATATCACTAAAGAAATATTATTTGAGGTAAAGTAGTTGATATTAGCTAGTGGAAGATGGTACAAGGAATTGCACAATAGTGTAGTAGGAACATACACTAGTTTGTTATTTGTAGTTTGGGAGCAAATGGGAAAATTAGCTAAGATTTTAAAAGAATTATAGCAGTGCTTAAGTAGGAATAAATGGTAATACCGATATTGTTAAAGAGTAAGCATCTTATTAACAAGTAATAAATTGTGAATGGGAAATCTGGGAAGATAACACAATCTGGGTCACACAAGGAACTGTGTGGGACACCTGGGATAATGAGGTAGTAAATACTATCCAGAAGGTGATAGTACAGGGATTAGTTCAATAATGGCATAATAACAAACACTAACGTAGTACAATGATTTAGTCACTAACATCAGTCAGACTCTGTAATGTTTGCATCATGAAGGAAGTTTGCTAGTTAAGATTAGTTCATTTTCATTTGTAATATGGTACACACGGCCTACATTTATTTTTCTTACTAGAATTTGTCCATCACGTACAAAGCACTGGTGAATTTAATAATTATTCTCACGTTTTAGTTTTCTCACTCTGTACAGGAGGTTCTGTCGTTTTCTTGTGAGACACTTATTTATGTACATATCTTTTTTTGCTTTAATAGATGAACTTATTAGGTTTTTTTTTTCTGTCTTGTTTGTGAAATATGAGCATAACACTTTTTCTCCCTTGGTTCCCTAGTAACCGTGATTCTTTTATTTTCGACACTGGCACATTAACCTGTAGGTGGTCGCGTATGATCTGGAGAGTTGTAGCTTTGCAGTTGGTATGGTTTAACTCACTAGGAAAGAGTGGACTGTTAATCACTACTGCATCGGCTAGCTTATCTTGCTCTGCCTTATCATCTTGGTAAGCAAAATAATTGTTCAGTTGGGTATCCATGTTTATTTTCCAGTCCTTAACGGCATCTTCAATCTTGGTGTTTAGGGAAGCTATTTGATTTGTATGACTGGCTATGACTGATTGGAGGGTCTTGCCAAACTCAGTCGTGCCAGTTGATGCTAGCTGTTGCTCAAGGCTGTTGATCTTATTCTCAAGGTGAAGTAACTTAGATTCATGGTTTGTTATTGTTGCGCGAAGAGACATATTTTCAGCACAAAGATTCAAGTTATCCGCCGTTAGGGTGGTGATGTAGTTCTTTAAAGTGTCAGGATTATTAGTCATACCTGGGAGCGTATCAGCTGGGTTAAATCCTATGAAGGTAGTAGAGGTAGAGAGGGAGTCAGTCATGGTTAGTGTTATAGTCAAGTCGCCTTGGTTGGTGGGTGAGGGGGGAGTCGGCCATGTCTGTTGTTGGTGATGCGTCACTCTGGGTGGTGAGGGGGGTGGATGGGGCACCTGCGTCCTGCTGGGTCGTCTTATGGAGTAGTCGATTACTAGGTACTGCCTTGCTGTTCTTAGCGCTGTTTCTTCTATGAGTTGGTCTCATAGTAGTACAGGAGTTGCTGTGGTCAGATGAAGGAACTAAATTAGTTAAGAGCTTGGAGTATGTAGTCGTCTGGCAGCGGGGCTGTGCTTGGAGTTTGTGGGGCAGTCTTCGCTTCAATCGGTAATTTTTCGGTTTGTAGGTATCACTTGGGTCACGCTGGGTTCTATGTACGTTAGTGCAGTTATGATTGCAATTAGGCCATCATAGAAGCATTGATGGGCTCTGCAGGTGAGAAAAATGACAGAGCTTGCTGTCTCTGCTACTGCTGCCGCTGCGCTCTAATAGGATCATAGAGCACTTCAGGATGATATGAATAGACTGATGCAATGGTCAGAGAAATGGCAGAAGCAGTTTAATATAGACGAATGCAAAGTTCTAAATGTTGGACACAAAAATAACCATGCCACATATAAACTAAATACTACTGATTGCAAAAAGGATTTAGGAGTTCTGGTAAAGCAGTAATCTAAAACCAAGGCAACAGTGCATTAGTGTTCACAATAAAGCTAACAGAATCCTTGGCTTCATATCTAGAAGTATAAATAACAGAAGTCCTCAGGTTGTTCTTCAACTCTATACAGTAGGGCCCCACTTATACGGCGGGTTAGGTTCCAGGCTGTCGCCGGAAAGTAGACATCGCCCGAAGGCAGAACGCCATTTTTTCCATTTATAAATGCATATAAATGCCAGACAACAAGTTTACACTAAATTATATTAAGTTAGTAATAGAACTAGGCATTAAAAACACACAAAGTAAAATACATTCACAGTACATTCATTATTTATCTTAAAGTATTTGTAATCTTAATGTAGGGAGAGAGGCGAGTAGTACTTATTTGTAGGAAGTCAGGAGCAGGTAGCCCAGGTGTAGGCAGCCCTGGCTCCCCGTTTCATACTTAATATACAATATTTAAAACATCCCAGAGTTAAAATACTCATACAATACACTCATTATTTACCTTAAAATATGTGTAGTCTTAATATAGGAAGAGAGGTGAGTAGTATTTATTTGTAGGAAGTCAGTGTAGGTAGCAGGTAGGTGTAGCCCACCTGGGCTACACCTACCGGCTACCTACACCGTGGCCCAGAGCCATATTATTAACATCGACATACCTTGTTCACTGAATTTAATCGTTTCTAACAACTACCTTTAGATGCCATCATAAACGAAGGGAGAAGTAATGAATAATTCATGCCGAAAATTGTAAACAAAAGCGGAGTGAGGGAGTGGCTGGGCCAAACGCAGATTCATACACATTTTCTCTGATGGCTTAACAAAGAAAACGTAATGTTGTCCCTCCACCCAGCTACCACACAGCTCCACAAGTATTATTATTAGAGCACATACAAAATATGCAATAAATGCCAGACAAGGTGCGGGATTACCAAAACTGTTGTCCAGAGGGCTGAGGAAGGGTTGTTGAGGTGGTTCGGACATGTAGAGAGAATGGAGCGAAACAGAATGACTTCAAGAGTGTATCAGTCTGTAGTGGAAGGAAGGCGGGGTAGGGGTCGGCCTAGGAAAGGTTGGAGGGAGGGGGTAAAGGAGGTTTTGTGTGCGAGGGGCTTGGACTTCCAGCAGGCATGCATGAGCGTGTTTGATAGGAGTGAATGGAGACAAATGGTTTTTAATACTTGACGTGCTGTTGGAGTGTGAGCAAAGTAACATTTATGAAGGGATTCAGGGAAACCGGCAGGCCAGACTTGAGTCCTGGAGATGGGAAGTACAGTGCCTGCACTCTGAAGGAGGGGTGTTAATGTTGCAGTTTAAAAACTGTAGTGTAAAGCACCCTTCTGGCAAGACAGTGATGGAGTGAATGATGGTGAAAGTTTTTCTTTTTCGGGCCACCCTGCCTTGGTGGGAATCGGCCAGTGTGATAATAAAAAAAAAATAAAGTTTACGCTAACTTATATTAAGTTAGCAATAGAAATAGGCATTAAAAACATAATAAAAGGTAAGATACACACAGAGTACACTTATTACATACCTTAAAATATTAATATTAATATGTGAGAGGTGAGTGGCAGGGTGTTTATTGAAAAAAATCAGAATGGCACACCATCATCCTCTAACTTATTATCACAGCTAAGCTTAGACGCCATCGTCAATGAGAGCCAACTAGTTAACAAAAGAGTAAACGAGAGAGAGAACAAGTTACAGAGTTGAGACAATGTAAAAACACAAATTGAACAGGAAGTGGACGATCACTTGGTCAGGCGAAATAAATGCATATTAATATGTGTCTACTTTTAGTTCATTCACGTACATTTGTAAGAGTTTGTAAAACATTTACCTTAATATTTTTGTTATTATAATAATAATTACCTCACAATACAAATTGCTATATATAGAGTGAAGGCATATGAAAAGAATATTTTTCTCTACAGTTATCCCCCAGTTTGACTAGAGAAAACGTAATTCTTCCGACACTCCCTAGATAAGATTTCGTTCGGATTTTTAACCCCGGAGGGTTAGCCACCCAGGATAACCCAAGAAAGTCAGTGCGTCATCAAGGACTGTCTAACTTATTTCCATTGGGGTCCTTAATCTTGTCCCCCAGGATGCGACCCACACCAGTCGACTAACACCCTGGTACCTATTTGCTGCTAGGTGAACAGGACAACAGGTGTAAGGAAACGTGTCAAATGTTTCCACCCGCCGCTTTGTAAACAAATCTCATATTTATGTCAATTTTTATTCTGAGTGTATCATGTTTATATGCTATGTAACAGGTTTCATATATAATTTTGAGGAAAATATCATAGATGGATTAATGAAAATGCCTATATTAATGTAAAATAAGACATTTAGTGTGCCCAAGAGTGATTATTATTACGTAGTATTGGCGTCATAAGTATAGAGACTCCTAGCGATTTTAATGTGCACCTGCACACCAGCACAGTGTGTAAGTATATTTAGGTGCAAGTACACATAAGTATAATTATCAGA